TTTCACACACATTATAACTGTTTTCATTACACACACCTCGCTTGCCCTGTATGTCAAAACGCGGCATGTCAGCAGGAATGTTAACGGCAAATATATTTAATCAAATTCCCACAATTCCCTGCGCTGTGCATACCTTCGTTAAAGAGGTGTGTGACCTCACAGCAGCACAACACAATCAATATGCAACATAATCAAGTCCCATGGCTTAACGAATTAACATCCCAATTATGTAAATCATACCGAGTCCAACCCTCTATCAGCTGCATTTATAGATCCGCAGAGGGAGGCTAACAGGGAATAGCTAACACAATATTCTGCGCTCTGACTTCACTAGTTAGCATTTTGTCAACCTGTCATCATGTTAGCATGTTGATTTTTCTTTCTATATACATATATGTCGTCCCTTGTTTATCTTTTACAGAAAACCCGCTCTGAATATCTTCATAGTCCTCACAGGTTGTGAGTGTATCAGTCTGAGCCTGTTAGCTGTAGACTGTTTACTGAAGCTAACGATGTTAGCGTTCCTCCAGCTGAACACGATGTGCTGTAGTGTTTTTATCGTAACTTGTAAAGCACGATGAAATATTTAAAGTGATAAATAAGGGGATCATACTATTCTACATAATGGTAAGCATATTACATCATCACAAAATCAAATAACATCAGGTATGAAAAGTAACGCTGGATGGATTATGTTAACTTGTAATATGCTAACAGCTAAACGTAAACTTGGCACATTGTGACCCACATTATTACCACAGCATCACTGTGTTGACTGTACCTTTGACATAGAAACTCTAAACAGAGCTATAAAAATAACTTGATAATACTGACAGGTAGAAACAAACGAAGCAGCATTTATATGTTGTCTCAACTGATCTACTTCCACACTTACACTCATTATTTTTAGTGCACGAGTATGTTCCCATAACCGAGTGCAACTACACGGAGTGCTTTTTGTGACGGAGAACTCTGAACCATCAAAGCGCCAGCAGAGTGTGAAGCACTTACCTAGCATGGTCACATCTTAGCTGTGTGGGAGACAGGGAGGGAGGATGTATCATCAACACCTGCTGTTATTCTACTGTTAGCTAGCTAAAAATTGCAGATTTAGCACCGTGCATGTGTTAAACTGTTGCTAAATTCAGTATTACAACTTCCAAGCGTTATAGAAATAGCAGCAGCTTGCACGTCAGTCACAGTCCTCCACAGCAAATTCAGGTAAGTGCATGACTTGACAGTAGTTGGTGTAAAGTGTTGTAACTTTCAGGTCTGAAAAATGAAGGCAATTTCTGTGCCGTGGCCATCAGGGGATGGTATCTGTGTTTGCAAAAAGACTTCCAGTCCATAGACCAGTTTGAGGGGTGTATGAGTCCTCGGCCCTGACCTTATTAGATACTTTCTTGTCTTTACTTTTCCTAATTTCGGATCATATTTAATAAAACAATTAGTCAATTTAAAAATTTTGATAATTCCATGTCCCAGAATTGAGGATTACCCAAGCTATGCATGTTCAATATGGAACTCATGCTCATTGGCTTTATGCATAATCCAATGGGTGGGATCACAGTGGTCCATCCAAACATCAACTCTTGAAGCAGTTAGTTAAGGCGCTACCTTGATACTGATGACTGTAAACAGACTTGATGTGCCCTGTTAGCACTAAATGCTAAATAGTTCACAATATTAGCCTCTTTTAGCTTGTATTACCATGATGTTAGCACATTGACTCATCTCAGATTTATATATAAATCAAGTTTGTATGTGGGTACTAATATTTATGTTCAAGGAAACCTGAGAGTTTTACTTTTTCAAAATGTTCTAATTTATTTAATTATTTGACTTGTAAACCATCATAAATTCAAATGATGTATATTTTACGTGTACCAGTGATGTTAGCTTTAGCTGTAGCCGCTCATTATGGCAGTTGTGAAAAAATTCAGCACGACTTTCTGAACATACTGGATGAGTCTTTTATGCTTTAACTGTGTTATAATCCAGCATCAAGCAGTGGCATTGCTTATAACATGGCAGCTAGCCATAGTAGGCATTAAAAATCAACACAATTCTTAATCATTCCTCCTGCACCTATTAGAGCACCGCACTTTGCCGTGTTTGATACATGCCGAAGGACAAATTACCGGTCAGATGCAGGCCAAAGCGATAAATGGTGAGCAGAAAAAGTAAAGGAGGATGGAAAAAGTGACTTCATGTTTGGATGAGCTGATTCTGACTTCACCTGCAGGCTGGGGGTGATCATTCTCATTAGCTCTGTACAATACTGTATTTTGGGTGCAGCTAAGCTACTTTAGTATGGCCATAAAACAAGTCAATTACATAAAATTATGCACATTTACTATCCACAGCCCTGTGTTTCTACTGTATATTGGAAAAATCTCATTTAGGTTCAATAACATAAACCAATCCATGCATTAAAAAATAGAAAGATTCAAGGAAAAAAACTTGTTTATCCATATGAAGTAAAAAAATGCCAAAAGATTAAATAGAATAACAGCATTCTGAGGCTTTCCTGAGAAATAATTACACATCTTTGCTGCTGAGAATCTAATTCCCATCTGATTTTTGCTCCGTGCTTCAGTCCTATATTTCACTGAGATCATGATACATAGTAACTGTTGGTTTTTAGTGTTTAAAGCCCAGTTTCCCTCAGGTATAAATAAAGTGCTTCATTTTATAGACCCAAATTATTCATTAGTCACACATTTAAACACACTACCATCTTTTTTTTAAACTTATGTCACCGTTCATTGTTCTGCTTGGGCTCTCAATGCCTCGTTAACACTTGTGCCTATTAAGCTAACTCAGGTGAAATGTTTGAAACTGGCAAGGAATAAAAAGCGGGGGGAGAGAGAGAGGAGGGGGGGGAGTGAGGTTCAGTTTAAATGCCATCCCCGTCTGCTTTTGTGAGGGCGAGAAGACCAACTCTGGCTCTTTCTCTCTCTCAACCCACAGGTCGTACATATACCATCTGTAAACACAATTATTCACAGCTGCTTGCACGCCCACAGGCTACTGCCACCCAGTGTGTGTGTATGTGTGTGTGTGTGTGTGTGTGTGAGAGAGAGAGATAGCGATAGAGAGCAGGAGAGTGTGTAAGTGGCTCTGTATCTGCTCGTACACAGAGGAATGAGGTCAGGGCGATGTTGTGTGTGAGTTGCAGTGTGCGAGGGGATGATGGTGTTGTACAATCTTCCACTTTGATGGTCAAACATGTTTTAGCTGCAGGTATTTTCCTGAGGAAGTGTGTCTGAGTGTGTGCGCTGCTCTAGCAGAGAGGCCAACAGATTACAGAGGATTAACACACCACTACAGATACACTTTACTCTCGCTCTGTTTCTCTCAGCCCGATTCTAAAACTTCAGCCTCCGTTGCTACGATAAGCCGAGCTCCATACTGATCATTTATTTGAACAAAATCCTTCTTTTTTTCTTATCTTTCCATCTGTGAGTAGATCATCCCCTCGCTCGGCTTTGTCCAGCAAATCTCCGTTCAAAATTCCAGCGATTTTTGTCTGCGGGAATTAGCGCACCACAGATTCAAAACGCAGACTCTGTATATCATATGCAGCTGGACGTAATTAAGGTTCAACATTAAATAGATAATCAAGCAATAATTAGACCAACTGGCAGCACGTAGCACGTGTTTTCCAGATTATGTTTTTTAGGAAGTGACTGAGCATTGGTGCTGGGCCGTACACTTTGTTCTGTGTCCTTAGCAGGCTGTTTTGATGTGTCCTGCTGTTTTCCTGCAGACTCTATCGATCAGTCAGCTGTGTGGCTGATTGCTGATCTCAAGTGCTTCAGACAGATTGATGGAAAGCTGGAGGAAATGACTGTCTGCTCTCAAACATGTTTTCTTTTCAGCGTTTTGTATCATTTGATTACAGTTCTTTTACCCTCGTTAGTTAACTGTCTTTTGTGCTTATACAAATACATTGCTCTTATAGCAGATTACAGAAACATCAAACATATCCTCTGTCTATATGGAACTAGTTGAATTCAAACATAGATTCTGCATAGAAGCATCGCTCCACAGCACATAGTAAAGAGTGGCTCTTACATCACGCATGGCCACGATGGCTCTGAGGGATTGCAGCCTGTCCTTAATGCATCTTGGTTCCTTTTCCTCTTGTCTTTGTAGATGGATTATCCACATATAGTAATATAATCTGGACTTAATCCGCATATAAACTGGATACTCATGACATATGACACTGTTCATCCAGGACTGGGCTCACAGTAGACCATCTGTTCCCTGTGAGCTGTGGTCATTCTGCACTAGAGTGTTAACCTCTAACATCCCAGAAGTCACCGGTGACACATCATGTTCAAGTATGTCTTTGATAAAGCACAGTAAACATGGGTCAGTAACAGTTCACTGAACTTGGGAGGCAGAGCCTTCAGCCTTCAGCCTCTTCTGTGGAACCAGCTCCCAGTTTGGATTTGGGAAACAGACACAATCTCTACTTTTAAGATTAGGCTTTAAACTTTCCTTTTTGATAAAGCATATAGTTAGGGCTGGACCAGGTGACCCTGAATCTGCAGTAGCTTTACTCTGATTACCATGATGTACCTTCACTCACCTTTTTAACTGTATTTGTGTATTCACATTTAATTATTAGTTATTATTAATCTCTGGCTGTATTTGACATAAACGTCTTCCTTCTCTCTCCCCAACCGGTTACGACGGATGGCCGCTTCTCCCTGAGCCTGGTTCTGCTGGAGGTTTCTTCCTGTTAAAAGGAGGGTTTTCCTTCCCACTGTTGCCAAATGCTTGCTCATAGGGTGTTGTTTG